TTTTCTGGTAGGTAGCCTTTCAGATGAAACATTTCTTCATTCTAAGGAATAACTAGCTCCACTGAGTTAGGGAGAAATATTCTGTGCAGTTAGTAGTGTGTGTATTGTAATGAACCCTAGCGGTGTGTAGTCCTTATCACTGGTAAATTAAGACTGAAAAACCAAACAGCTTTATTAAGAGCTCCTGGCATTGTGTGAGGCCATGGAGCAGAAAAGCCAGGAGTGGATCACTACTGACAACAGAAATTCACAAGGGAGATCTCAAGGCAGTTTGGAGACTTTTTAAAGAATTTTTGTTTTGTCTGTTGCTACATCTTCACTGCTAGGCCAACTTACTCATTGCTTTGAGATGAAAAGCTAAAGCACATGCTGGTCAGATTATTTCACTGAAGCCAGGTAAGTGTGCTGGTCAGCCTTGTCTCTCCAAAGGCCAGGGCATATATGCCTGCATCAGATTGTCATATTAATTTCACAGAGCAGGAAAATTGGCTTTTATGGGAAATTACTAGGTTGTGCTTTAGAAAAGTGCATTTAAACAAGTGTTGAATTGAGACTGCAGTGACAAGCTATTTATCACTGATGACTATACATGTCTTTATTGATTTGAACAACACGTCCCAGGCTTCTAAAACCTGTCATGGACAATTTGTTAGCTAATCGGCATCTCTGTTGTCTTAGTATTTTTAAACCTGCCATTTTCTAAGTCTATAAATGATGCCTCCCCTGCCCCACGCAGTTAATATGGACTGTGAATCAATCTGGTTGATCTGTACTTCAGACAAGAACTGTAGCTACAGTATGGTCAAATAATATTAATTTGATTTTATATCAAGATATCTCAAGGGTTGTACAATTAAGAGAATAAAGAAATGACTATATAGAGGTAAAATAAGACATGATGACCCTGATAAACAGAAAGAAAAGCCATGAGCAGTCATAATCAGGAAAGGCACATTTTACAATAGTTGGCTTTTACAGAGACTGGGAGCCTCACAGAGCAATCCAGAGTTAAGACAGTAAACTGTAGAAAGCTTGAATACTCAAAAGTTACAACATATAGGAGTACAAAGCAACCAGAATCCAATGACTGGAACTGTCAGGGCAGAGTGTTACAGCTCTGCTAGGGCTTTGAGATACTGCACCAATAAGATCAATTAGGGCTTTATAAGTTAGGGAAAAGACTGTATTCCTTTCAGTGCTAAACTTTACAGGAAGACAATGCAGGGAGGCCAAAACGGGAGTGATGTGCTTGTAGGGCCAAAATCTAGTTAAACTTCTAGCAGCAGAATTCTAAACATACTAAGGCATGTTGATACTATGCTTAGAGGCGCCAGCAGGCAGTTCATTACAGTAATCCAATCTAGTAAAAACAAAGCCATGTGCCAATATCTCAGCATCTGACTTTGACAAGATAGGTCATAAATGGGCAATATTACACAGGTTAAAAAAAGGACACCCTTGTAATATTTATGACATGAGTTTCAAATATTAAACTGGGGTTGAAAAGGGCAATGAAGACTTTTTTACCTGAGTTGCTGAACTAAAGTCCAAACCACTGATGACCTTGTAAACGTCCTTTATGTTATTTAATAAAATAGGGACCAGTATTGAGCCCTGCAGGACACCAGAAGTAAGATAGGAACTAAACCAACTATGAGCAGCTCCAGAGGTATGAATGTTGGTTTCCATTTGATTAAGCAGGATGGTATAATTAACTGTCAAAAGCCACAAAAGAGCTACAAAGGAACACATACTGTATCATGCCTGAGTCTGAAATATTGAATACTTTTTAACTTCCTTTCAGTAACTGGATGCTTGGATGTCAATGACCATTTAATTTATGCTGATACCATAAACTACTCTTGTATTTCACTCCCAGACATCTGTACCTACAAATGTCACAACAATACTGCATATTAGAGAGGCTACTCAATGTGTCAACGTGACTGTACTTAGGAAAAGCATGAAGAAGTTACAGCTTCTTCTTTACATTGCAATACTGTATTTGTATTATACTAGAAACAAAACTGAATTTGTAGTTTTCACATCCACCTTTTGCTTCTACACATATATAAACATATGAATAATTATACAAAAATATAAATCTTTTTATACAGGCTACCAAAAAAAGAGTGCCTCTGAATATATGGATCTGTTGCGTATGCACATTGATCACTGTGAAAGTATCATTTTCATATGTGCTTTCTGCTTAGCTATTTTCTTTCATACATGTCTTTGAATTGTTGGTTTGTAAAAAAAGAGTCACGAATAAAAATTCCCAGTCAAAAGACTTAAGCAACACTTTTACTAATGCTAAATATACATGTATGAAACTTCTTCCCACTATCTTTAGCTTTTAGGAATGCTAAGAAATGCTGTATTTAAAAGTTTTAACACCATTTTACAAAACAGAATGGTCAAAGCTGAAAGAAGTAGTACCATTTTAAATCTTCTTCAATACTATTTTTTAATACATGCAGAGAAGAATATTTGTTCACTACAACCACATTACTCAAGTGACCATATTAGTAGAAACAGAAACATTATTTTAAGATCGAAGAGGATGAAAAGAGAACTTCTGTCCAATTGAAACAAATTGTTCTTAAGCAAGGTAATTATTTAAGCAAGGTAAATTAGTGTTGTCACATCCACAGCATAATCACATTTCTGCATATTTTTCAAGTTAAAACCTGTCTCGGTTTTTAAGAACACGTGTAATGTGTTTCAAAGTTTCAAACAGGAAAAAAAGTGTTTAAAAGCATATTTAAAAGAAAAGGTACTGAACTGATTTTATAGCACTGAACAGTAAAACTCTCAAGACATCAACGCTAATCAGTCATTTCCAAACCAAAACATATTTAACGCAATGAGGAGAACTCTACATCCTTACAAAAACAAACAAATACATGTCTGCTAGTACTGACAACCAGCTAAACATAGTCCCTGTACAAATTACTGTTAAAAAATATTCACTACAATTCTTAATCAATACCACCCTAAAACATGGGTGCTATAGAAATAGAGTCGCAAGCACAGATACAGTACATCCCTCACTAGATCCCCCTGAAAATCTTTATGCCAGAACAGAACAGTTTTTCCAAATATATACACTATTGGAAAAGAGACTACTAAAATGTGTATGAGTGGTTTCATTTATTCAGAATTACAGTGTTCTTTTATTCTAATTTCTATCACTGAAGACAATTTTCAATTTTTTTCAATTTGTACTCTAAATGGTCGTCTTCTGCTTTATAACAGTGACACCTATTGGACAGTATAGCAAGTGCAGGATTATGACTCTTAAACTGCAAATGCATAATACAGGAAATAAACTATTTGTTCATCATATTTTAAATAACAGTCCTAAAATAATAGTTTTTTCAAAATATCCAGACACTGTAAATTGTAAAAAAAGAATTTCTGCAATGCACTGTGTCAAGTATAGTATGTTACAAAAGTGAAATACCCTAACCCATTCAAACTATGCAAACAAATTGTTTTCACATCAATTAAATTCCAATGCAGGAAATGCTACCTAGAATTAGAATTCTTCAATTTTCAAAATAGATTACATGCTCACATCAGCATTCTTCCCCTCAACAAATCTTTTCACTTACGGTAAACAGAATATTAATATTTCACTACATTTAAAAAGGGGGATCATTAGCAAGCACTGATTTGCAGTTACATCTGAGTAATGTAACATCACAATATATGTATTCCAACAGGATGTTTTTAGAACATTGTACTGTTTGAGCATTCCAAGCCCAAATTTTGGAAACCTACTTTCTTAAAAGGTAAAAGGAACATTTAGGTAATCAAATACTTGGAGCCTTCCCGTACGTAACAACTATTCCAAATGCCTCTTTTTAGTGCAGATATTAATACAACTACATTAGATAACAATTACAAATTGTATCAGTACCATCCACTGCACAGTGCTTCAGTCACCATACCGTAACAAGGTGAAAGTGGAGTCCTTGAGCTCACAGTTAACAAGACTGCAGCCCAGTCAAGTCATGGTTCTAGGGCGTGGATCTCAAGTCCATGACGTTGGAGCACAAACAAATTTGATGGGTTTTGTTGTGCTGTTTGTAGGGCGGCTAACTTCACCAAGCTGATCTCCCCTACAGTATATAGAACTATCACGTTTGTGACTCAACATGAACCTATACCAAGGATGGAAAAACTGGTGAACCAAAAAAACTGATTCACTGAACTTCTCACAAATACCTCTCTGAGAATCAAGAATCATCTACTGTATCTTCCTTCTTGTCGAAAGCGTCCCACTATTAGATAACAAAATGTACAGCATTAAAAAACACTTTGCTTCTGCTTGTGCTGTGGGTGCCTACATGTACGCAGCTCAACATTCTATTCTCTGGTCAGCTTCAGCTGTTCACCTTACATTAACACAACTTCTGTTTTGCAAGTTAAGATTTATAACTTTGTCTACATGTCAGCAAACTTGTCCTTTCACATCCTCTTACTTAATTCCTATCAAGTCTCTCTTAACAGGAGCTTAACCCTGGGAGAATTCCACCACCAAACGCAAATCTTCAGCCTCTACTAACAGAAACAAGGTCTGGGGGAAGCTTAGAATAGGTTCTTTGATCATTTTTCTGAAACACTGAAAGGAATCCAATGCCATTTCTACACATCACAAAAAACACAGTGTGAAATAATGTTTGATGGTCCAACTTCCCAAAAAAGAGCCTCTATTGATCTGAAAAGGATCTGCACAAAGACTATGAGTGATTCAATGACCAAAATGGTCTTACTTAATATTTTCTTCTTACAATTTATAGTTACTGAAAATGAGCATACTGCAGGAAGGATGGGATTCTGCTTTGTCCTGGACAAAGAATGTATAAATATACCAGAATTTCAATTTAATACGGTGGAGATTTTAGACTTTCTGCCATGGAATTTTTAAAAAATGCTGCTGCAGAATTCCCTATAGAATGTTTTATTAACCCAGAGGGCTATAAAATATGTACCTTGCTCTCAGCTCCAAGTCTGCAGCCACACTCTGTGTCAACAGTGATGTCGTTTCTCCAGATGGCATTTCTGAACTCCTAGGCAACAGTGCAGATGGCCTGCATAGCCAGGTTTCCAGGTCTGTAAACTTTGAGTAGCTCAGCATTTGCAGAACACTGGAAAACACACAAAAAGTACAATAATAAAGCAATTAGCCAATAATAAGTAGTGACAGTTTCTGAGGTTTCTGTGTTTTTAAGGCAGAACTTCTGCCCTCTGTTAGAAGACAATACATTAATGGCAAATAAAGTCCCGTCAGTACTCGTTCTCTATACTTAGCACAAGCTGTATTTCATCATGACATTTGGCATTATATGACTGAGTTGAAAGCACATGCCTACAGTATGTATCACATTATTTTAAAATCAAAGAAAACACCCCAATCCATGAGAGAGTTCTCTATGCAGATTTATTTTTGTAGACTTTATTTAGAAATAAGGAGGTAGAGAATACCATGAGAGGATATCTGAAAGATCATTTCAAAGATGACAACAGAGATTAAGGAGTGCTAAATGCAAAATAGAAAACTATTTTATACTGTATTTGCCTGGTGTATTACATAGTGTGTAGAAAACTGACTTAGTAAATCTTTAAAATTAAAAGAGAGACAATTTGCATACCGTATAAAGTAAATAACTATGTACAAATAATACAGACCCCAAACAGTGTCCTTGTGGGTAGTATTGTACTGTACATTTTGAATATCTGCACTGAACAGTTATAGACACTCAACCAGGTTGAAATGTGAACTTTTAATATAAAAAAGGGCCTAAAATTGAGAATAATACCTCACTAACACAGTTGATTTCACATTTGACTTTTCTTTCTTTTGGACATGAAACTGAGATAAATGATTATTTTTCACCTCAGCATACAAGTGTACGGTATATCCTCTACTCTTGTTTTCATTCACAGGATGTTGGCTTATCCACCACCAAACGCTTACAGGAATGATCACAGTGAAAGCAAGCAGATTTGCCAACTGAATAAAGCTCTTTCTCAAAAACTGACAATTGCTGCTGCTGCAGCAACCAGCAACAAAGTGCTCAAGACATGAACCTAACTGGATCACAAGTCTAAGAAAAGGCAGAACAAGACAACTGCTTCATGCAGACTCCAAAAGGAAACAGGAACACACCTGGTACAGCACCTCTATGAGAGAATCAGGAATAGCTGAATAAATACTAAATTAAAGCCATAAAGTTAAATCAATACCTGTCTTCTCCTTTCCCAGGGAGCTCTGCTTTGTCTTCAGGCTGCAGTATCACACAGGATGCTGTTGGTTTCTGCTGGGAACTCAGAGGACCATTTTCATCTGTCGCTAGGGACATCTTAAGCTGTCACTATGCTGCAGTTATAATGACATATGAAGTATGATATATAAAAATACTTACAGAACTTTATCACATTTTTATCACAAAGAATACAAGACAATCCAGATCTTTCATCTTATTGGTGTATGCTTCTATAGAAATGTTATTTCTTGGCTTGGAGTAAATAAAGCTTTCAACAAAAGATCATTATTGACATCTACTGGGTTCGGGGCTTTTCATCAAACTGTCACAAACAGTTCAGGTTTATTCAAATATTTTGAAAACTTAGCACGTATGCATGGTAAATTAGGCAATTTCAAACACGAAGTTAATGGTAAAACGTCTTACAGATTCATTTATTCAGTTATTAAATAGCATTTATCCTCAACTCAAAACGGTGAAGTAATTAAATTAAAGACAACTTTTGATGTGGTACACACTGGAGAAAGTTTTCACCTCATTCAAACGATAAAACTTTAAAAATACATTTTGGCGTTTGCGTTGTGATTTATTGACGATATGCAATTACTTTATGGCCAAAATCAACTAAGAAATATTAGTTTATTTTAACCCATAATTACCAAGCTTATGCAATTCGCTAGAATGCCTTTTCAACAGGAGAAGCTGAAGGCATACTGTATCGTTGTGTGCAGTAGATTCATCCAAATAATTTTCGAAGCATTTTCCTCTCAGTTGAGTGAAAACAAAAAGTACCTTCCCCTCTCCTGTTTAATTTACAGCAACTCTTGAAGACCTCCCGTACAACACCGCAAGGAGTGCTTTCTCTGGAACATTTCTCCACGTGGCTAATGTTTTGGCTCCTGAGTAGATAGGGCAACACCCTGGAGATCGAACAGCGAAGTTTAGGCTAGTTAGGAGGACATACTGTATTAAATCACAGCTAGGATGCCAACAAAAGTACGCTTGAAGAAAGAATTTGCACTGGAATTTGCACAGACACTGCCTAGCAATATGATCACAGAAGAAAACCTGTTTTCTTTTCACCGTTTTGGAACATACTGTATCGATGCATAGTTAGAAGGAACCAAGAGAAGCAGATAGAACATAAACACCCGTCCCCCCGACAGCCTCCGAAGGCTTTATAGTCAAAGAGGAAAATAAGTTGTGTTTTTAAAACTCGACCATTTTTAATTACGGACTTCAGTAGCACCATTCTTTCACTAGCAACAGAATTCAAGCAGAGAAACGTTCCTCACTCTAAAAGCGTCCAGAAAGCACTATGCAGCTGAATCAAAGTTCTTTGTTTTACAACACAAATAATTTTGCTTATATTTCAAACGACAGTTTACGTTTAAAATAAGCATTTTTAGTAAAAAAGTGTTTCTTGTTTTTTTTTACCTTCTTTGTCTTCGAACTCCGGCAAGCAGACGACTCATCAGACTGCATCAAAATCAAAACAGCTGTGTTCACAGAGCATGTTTGAAAAGTGGACTCGGACAATGTCTTTGTCTGAGACTTCTTAAACTTGTGTTTCTTACGAGAGAAATCAGAAAGGTGAAATATATGGTATTTAAAACTGTTTTCAAACTAAATGTGACTTGCCTTAAAAAAACTCCTAAAATACCAAGTCTGGAAAAAATAAAAAAAAACTTACCATGGTAGTACCCACTTCAACATCAGGAAGTGTATGACCCTGGCTTTAATTCCACCCCCTCTACCCTCAAGAGTCATCAATAATTAGCTTCTCTTGCGAAGAGATATTACATATGTTCTGAAAACCAGGGACTTAAAATATTTGAATCAATAGAATGTACTCAGGAATACCACGACAGCTGTACCTTTCGTGGTGAACGTCCTGTGTTTGTCTATCCATGGAGCTATATTAAAAGGGTAGAATTACAAAGTGCATTTCTGCATCCAGCTTTCAAAGGGATGTCTGGGAAAAGATAACTACACAGGAAATATTTCGGCACTTATCCGCCTAAATTGCAGTACTCCAATTAAAACCTTGTAATTTAGATAAAATATCTATCTCAGCTAAAGGTACTATTTTAGGAAATCTATACATACTGTACAGTACGTACGTGCATACAGTACATACTGTATAAGTCTACAGTATATATATACACACTGTGCTGTAAACAATTAGAACGTTGTATACCGTATAGGTATATACTTTATGAAGCCAATGTCATACAGTACACGTTTTCTCGAGAATTATTTATCATTCACTTGCTAGAGCACAATATCGTAAGAGTAATACCTGCTGAAGATCTACTGTATAACCAATGAGATTTCTGCTAAAAAAATTAAGCGAAATACTTACTGTATGTTGTGTTAATTGTCTGACTATAGGGAAATTATGTGGTACAATATTCCATGTGACTGGTTAAATCACCAGAGACTGTGATAATATAACCAATGAAATATTTGGTTATATTAGTCATCAACATAACAAAGAAATACAATTTAGAATGTACCATATGTTAAAAATATATGTACCATATGTCTTTAATAAAGGAAAAACATTGGAAATATTGTCTTTATCGATTACATTAATCTTTTAAATAAAATATTTGATTGCTTCAATCCTTTACAATATTTTAATAATATTATATAAAAACATTATTTAGCATCATAAATTGAAATGACTTCTTCTTCTTGTAGCTTCAAGCATTAGGATAACATTATATTTTGATTCAGGATGAGGACTGATGTACAGTATTGGCTAAACTTAAGATTTTGGTGTTAAGACCAAAGACTGAATAATAGAGAAATGTTCAGCATTTTAAACATTTATATTGTGCAAGGCATGCAACCCGTACTTTAATAAGTTGATGGTTTAGTGGATGTTTCCAATATTAGGAATCATTCTCTGTTCACTGGACAAGTAAAAATAAATTAATCTAATACAAGAGATTACAAATATGCAGTACTTTGAGTACTGTACCCTACTTTTTGTCTTTGTGTGATGCTTTCTGTAATTCATTAACAAAGCAGGCACTTTTGTTTACTCTTTAGCACAAATCTATACCATTTCAAAATCCTGTGATTGCAACATTCCATACATTATGTTCTTTATTTTCACTGTAAGTGTTTTAGGGTTCCATAAGTAGATTAGATGCTACATTAACCTTAGATTTAAGGTACTTCATCGTGAGTCTATAAAAGCTTTCAAGCTCTGCCGAGTAGGTCTCACATACCAAATGCACCAAGTTTACTCACTTACAACTAACATCTAATGCTTAATGTATTTTTCCATAAACTCTGACCTTTTTAGAATCATAGGGGCCTAATAATTTTAGACTTGTACATTCTTCACGCTAAAGCTTTAGGGAAGAATTATTCCCTATAGAATTATAGAATTATTGTATAGAGCTAAAAATTGTGTCTGATTCAACAAATATTCAAAACAATCACAATCACTGTAAAAAATGAACAGTTTTTAATATATGTTAAGCACAGCAGGACATTTAGGGAAAAACACTCATGACAGAACAATAGAAGACAAGTAAGGATCAAATAACAGGGAAGAGATAATGACATAATAAATGAGAACCTAAACTGCCTGAAAGACTAAAAACATTTTCAGCAAGCAAAAGCACTATGATTTTTTATTACCTTTGTCTTATTTTTGTATTACTACATACTAGTAGACAGTATATGGATTTGTGTAAAAGTTCAGAAGCATAATATCCTTATCCAATTCAAAGAGGCAGAATGTACTAACTATATAGTCCAAAGCAAAAGCAAGCGCCTGTAGAAAATGTCTTTCAACCAACAACATAAGGCAATTGCAAAGTACATAAAGAAAAAGGCTGCAAGACTTATCTCAATAAGTTACAGTTAGTTACGGGGACACACCCGGAACTAAGTTTTATCAAGTTAATCTTTTAACTGAATTAAACAGCAATATAGTTAAATAGAAGGGTGCAGCATTATAATATTGCATATATTTTTAATATCGAATTATGACATAAATGAGATATTTTAGAATGACATTTTATGGGTTTAAATTTTATCATAAAACTGCATTTTACGCACCCATTCTATAAACGTGCACAGATGCTTACTGTCATCTAAATTGACTTGAAATATTTCATATTTGGATTTACATGAAACACTAGATGGCAGAGTACTGCCAGACACTGATGAAATTGCACAAAGGAAGTGAGTTTCTTGTGTTGTCATCAATTTCATATACTGTACCAACAGCATGAAGAAACACATGCTTTTGGCTTTATTTTGCTATTAATTGACTGTCTGCACTTAAAAACAAATGTGAATTGGAACTTCATAGTGTATATCTAAAGGTCATTGGGGAATGAATCTTATGGCATTCATCTTCAATCTGGAATTATGCACTACCAGTACTTAGCTACAATCACCATCTGCCATAGTCTCCTTTGCATGACCTGACTTTTTTTTTTCAGAGAAAGGGGATGTGCTTTACAGTACATTAGCCAGGATATCTCATCTGACTTGTTAGATTTCTCATTTTTTAAAGTGACAGGCACCCTTGTTTTAACAAAGTTTGCCAGAATCATATTGTTTTATATGATACACAACTTTCACAATAGTGATTGCCACATTATGTGAGAGATGACAGTCTATTTTACATTTTTGTATAGTCTTGAATTTTCAGGGAAGGTGTACTGATACAGTAAATTAAAAAATAACTGCTGTAGTTCTGTAATAATTCCAGGGCCAGATTATATTATATGTATGAAATATAATAAGAAAGAAAGAAATTAGTAGTGTAGAAAGAAAGTACTGTAAATGCTACTGTAGCTGAGCAAGTAAAATGAACATCTACATTACTTCTGAAGAAAAGCTTTTTTAGTCCATGTCCAGATCTACTCTTTAATAGGTTATACTTTCTACCATTACACATTACATTAAGTCCAAAACCTACAGTATGTGATTGTATTTTAAACAGTTGTAGACACTGAATGTTCAAATCAGAAACAAAAATCTGTTTACTCACTATCTAAAGTAGCTGAGAGCAAAATGCATCCATGGGCGTCATATCTCAAGCAGTGATATGTCTAGCTTTTATTGTATCAGTACACTGAAATGCTCAAAAACCTTGGTCAGATTACAGATAAAATCATGAAGATAACATTTCAATCTAGTAGAGATCTTCATAAGGGCAAAAAAGAGTCCAGCATTTTACTTTGCTTCATGCAGATAGCATTGACAACTAGACATCCACTCTATCAGTCACTCTTTAAAAAATAGATTACAAACAGTAATAATGGACTAGAAAGTACAATTACAGTAGGTGACACCTTCAGCATTAAGGAAACCAAGCATTGTTAATGCAGACACTTTCTTTTATGTATTTATTATATATTTTCTAAATGCGCATGCAAATGCCTGTGTTAGTAAGCATAAACAGATAGATAATATATCTACATTAAAGCATACTAAATGAGAAACAAGGGTTGTGAAGTACAAAATATTCGGAGAATAAACATGCTCAAAACATAGCATATAAAATATAGGGATCAATTTTTTTAATTGTGTAATTATATGTCCACAGCATTTGAACAATTTGAACATTTAAACTTTTTAAATTCTGAATCTGTTATAAAATTACTTTGCTGGTTGTCTAAGTGACCACAAGAGAGAGCCAGCAGTACACCAAATCAGAAAAAAATGTCCACACATTAAAGCATTTATAACATTGTTGCACCAGATATGACCTAACTGAAAGCAGCTATGCACTATACCTACTACAGATATTAAACCACATGTTTCATATAATACATTAAAAGAACATATGAAAATGACTTCTGTGTTTTGTTTCATTCTAGGTGGATGCAAATCTGACACACTGTGGCAGCATTTTAATTGTCATTATTATACATCCTTTACACATGATTCTCTGTGGAAAAAAACACTTCATTTTAGAAAATTAGATATGTAGATGGGAAGTATTGGAATAATTTAGCAATTTTCCTCATGTCCTAACCTGTTTCACACTGATGCCACAGAAATATATTGTACCCTTTGACTTATCAATGAACCTTTGATTTCAGTTTAGGATTTCATCTTCTGTTTCATTAAAATAGAGAAAAGTATGTTGAATCAGGTTAACCATTTAATTTATCATACCTATGTAAAAATGTGCTGTCAAAAACCTTCACCAGTTACCTAACCAATTAAATAATATTCACCAGGTGTCTATTTACAATAACAGAGGCCTTTAGTGGCAGATGGGCTGTACTGTAATTTCAGTTCTTCCAAGGCATTGTAAGACAATCCAAGGAGACAATTATTTTACCGAAATGAAAACATGGAAGCATTTTTACTTAAATAGGTTAAATTCTGTATGCAAATGTTAAGACTGCCAAAATCTGGATGTTCTTATCGGCTTTTACACCACAGTTGGTATTTGTTAATGTATATTCATACAGTACATTTGTTTAACACAACCTACTGTCTGTTCTGTAGGGAAATCAGTTTTCAAAACATTATTGACAATTGAATTTACCTCATTGCGAAATGGTTGTTTTTT